TCGTAATTTCCAGAACGAAAACTTTGAAACCAAAAACGTACCGTGCTTTCCTTTGCTACATCAGCGTCCTACACATCATTAATCCTTCGAGCTGTTTTTGCAGCACTGGTGCCACGGTAGAACTCGTACTCGTAAATATACCGATATTTCATGTTTTCCATTGTGCGGTAATAAGCGACGCCAAAGAATAAAATAATGAAGGAAAAAAATGAATGACTGTTTTCAATACTCAAATGTACCAGCTAAATTAATTTATAAATTTGAATTTGGAATTCTTAACCAAAGAGGAGATATTTCAGATCAAAGTGGATAGTACGACAAAACGCTAATTTCAATTTGTAAGGACCCAATAATAAAAAAATGTGTTTCAAAATTTGTTTGTCAAGCATAGCAATTATTGCACATGTCCCCCCTACCAGGCAATCTAAGAGGTAGGCCGCAGCATTAGTAGATCAGTGATTAAGAAATATTTGTCTATACAAAAAACTATATGACACTTCCTTGTGACGCATTTTGACCTAGAGTGTCGTTTTATTAGTTACCTAACTTAATATTAGAACTCGCAGTCGGATTTTTTGTTTTTAATAACAACTTATATGTATTCAATAACTTTTCAACGTTTTGTACGACCATTTTTTATGATAAGGATAGAAGGTTCTCTGAGAAAAATCTTTAAAGAGGTATTCTTTAAATGTTGTTCTTATTAAAGATAAATATCGATTTAATTTATAACTTACTTTTCTGTTCTTTTCGAATTTTCTTACAGATATTTTGAGGGACAGCAATTTCAAAGCATTTTCTTTCTGAATAATTTTTATTAAAAAATAGCGAATTGTACATTCTTATAGTGTGACAACAGTAGGCTTATAACGTTTAAAAAAAGTGAATGAAACCAAATTTCAAGCAGCTTCGTAAAATATGCGTACATTTTCGACATACCACGTCGATAATTTTTACACCGGTTAAACTTTTATGTCAGCCTTGCTATTCGCCAGCCCTGGTCTAACATGTGACGTGTGACTACTTTTTATTCCCTTAAAGCTATCAACTGAAAGGAATACAGTATTTCCAGAAGATGAACTAGCAGTGTTCGAGAAGGCCAAGGCGGATAGGTAGTGTTTAGAAAATTGGTTTAGACGCATTAAATATTGTGTAGCTGCTGGTAATGAGTTCTTTAAGGTTTCCAAATAGTCGTGTAAACATTGTCAATGTGACAATAAAATATGCTATAGTACTAGCACGAAAACTTCTACGTAGGTAATATCATACCTATTCCATAAATATATTAATTAAACAAATTCTAATTGAAGTTTAAAATTCTACAAAAGGAAGTACATTAACTTTTAAAACTAATTGTTATAGTAAGAATATAAATAAATAATAGAAAACTGCTCATAAGCAACGGATGATTTTCACAAGAAATATGATTTTCACGTTCTCTGTTAACAAAAAACCAATTTCAATAAACTTTTCACTCGTCGAAATCTATTAAATTTTAATAATTCTAGATATTTTTAAAATAATATATAATTCATTATGCATGTAGTGTTTGTTAAAAAACATTAAGATAGAGAAAAATATTGCTTTTATACTTTGATTTTACGATTTTCTTTTTAATGTAAAATGTTAACTTTGTAATAACTCTGGACAGTGTGTTCTATTTCGTAGTCCCTACTATAAACAATTTTCCAGGAATTCTAATATCTATGTATCTCTAGATTGAGGCACCGCTTTACAACAACGATAAAACTATAATTGTTGAACACATGATGAAAATAGTGGCTTGTACCGTGATGCGCAAATTGGTACTAATTAGCGATATTGTTAGATAGTTTGTAGTGCATAAGCATAGTTTCCAATAAATTTGCCTCAGTCTATAAATTTAACTGGCCCTACTTTCAACTTGGTAAGAGATTTTTCCTGTAAATTGTACAAATTTTCGTGTTATATAAATTATGGCCTAATTTTTATTCACTCATGATATGATTCTTTTTCCCATAATGATTTCTTATATTTACGCGAACACTACACATTTAAATAATACTAGGTTTTACAAACCTAGTATTCTTTTTTTCAATCTAAACCCATCAATCTTTCCTTAGCCTAATTTGTATTCCTAAGGCCGTTTCAAGCCCGGTCAAATATTAAATCCATAAAGCTATTCTAGAGGTTTCAAGCTCAATGTCTTTTGAAAATATCTGTGTGTACAAAAATCATTTCATGTACTTTCAGACCTTCATTGTTTCAATGTCGTGACTTTTGTCGTTCTTATTTACAATTCAAGAACCTCGAGGGAAATTCATATTGTAACATTCGATTGAAACAAACATTTCTGCGCTCAATTTGATTTAATAAATTGCTTCTGTAATATTGTCTTAACCGTACTTAGCATTTAATAATTCATACACATTCATTAGAAGAGGTTTTGTTAATTTTAAGAGATATTCTGACTTTGTCTTTTCTAAACGTAATGAAATGAAGTAAGGGTTTTTGTATACATTTTATGTCTATAAGCGCTGTCTATTAAAAATTTATATTACATCTTTAAAGAAACAAATTTCCTAATAAAATGTATATTTAAAAAAAACGTTGCCCTCAATTTGGGATATTATCTCCTGTATTGTGGACGTAGTTTACAACCATAATTTGCACAATGACAAACTTCCAGACCCGAAACAATTATTTGTGGGCCTTATAAATATCTGTTCCGTGCGTGAATTGAACCCACGGGCCTCAGTGTGACAACTCAATGCTAAACCACTGTGCCACGGATACCCTAAAAAAATTTAACTTATTTTTCATATAATGCTAAGTTCAAGCTTCTTCAAATACAATTTTATTTTGATTATTGTACCTCATTTGACTTTGATGGTGAATAAGGTACTATCTTCATGGGGAATTTGAAACTTTGGAACAAGTTGTTGAGCTACTTTAAAAACTCATATCATTTATTAAGAATGAAAAAATCCAGATATGTTGTCGACACTGAGAATCAAAAAATGCCTCCCACTAGTAACAAAGGACTCCCATTGTCGTCACTCAATTCACACTCACCATACAAAACGCAGCTGGATGGTGCTGCTGTTTTACGTCGCTATTCTGTACGAGTATTACAGCACGTCTCTGCAATAAAAAAAAACGTATGATGCGCTTCAAGTATAGATAAACCTCAATAATTTTATAAGATATAAAATAATTTAACACAAAAATTATTTAATTTAATTAAATGTTAGTAAAGATATCTGAATATTTACAGCCTTGTATAGAAAAATATATTTTATTTTGATTATCCTTGATCGCAGTTATTCTACAACGTCTATATTATACAATACATTAAGAACTATCAACACTGAGCAGTGTTGCTCGCGCCTCTGTCGAGAGACGGCCTCTTGTGCGCTTTGAATTTCAAATCTGCGATAGATTTAGATATACGTTTTTCGACCTCGTAATCAAAATGCGGGAACTGAACGGTAAGTCAGCGCGTTGAATTTTTTGACTGTTGTTTGCTGCTTTATTAACTTGTGAATACAAATTTCAAAACCTTAATGGTTTGTAAGAAAATTGAAACGATATTATAGAATAAAATAACTTCAAACGAAATGAAACTGTTTTGAAAAGAAAAGCGTCGCTGTGATTTTAAGTTGAAATTAGTCTAGTGCCATGAGAAAAAAACCGTGACATTAAGTCTTCATTAAATTCTTTATAAACTGTATTTCAAATGGACAACAAAAGGAAACCGTAGTATTATAACAAAATTGTTAAGCATAATAAAAACAAAAAAAAAATAGATAAATAGATAAATATAACATTTATTTGTTTCTCATTTCAAATTCAATGACTAAACTAGGTACGACGTAACCTATTACGAAACAAAATACACGGTTTATTAGAAAATAATTATATATATCCTGATATAATAAACTTCCGTGTGCGTGTGTTCGTAAATCTTCTCCTAAAAGCCTTGACCAACTTTGATGAAATTTTGTAGGATACTTACATATAATGGATGGTTTTAGTTAGTTTTACGCGGTAGGTGACGCTTTTATCGAGATCTAGAAATCATTTTTTTAATAATATGTTTATCATGAAAATGCAGATATTAAATATTACTTGCCAGTTTGCTTTTAGCGTTATAAATTAAGATGATTAATCTTAGGCGGGAATAATGTAGATAAGTGTAATAATAATATTTCGAAAAAGTTGTATGACAATCTTTCATACAAAATCATTAAATGTCAAAAATTTAAATTTTTTAATATTTATTCATTTCTGTCCCAAGGTAACAACATATACTAAATAATACAGTAATTGGAGCCTCCTAGTAAGTATTATGGAATACCTGTGGCAGGAGCCACCACTCGTTCTTCCTAATAAATATTAAATAATATTAAAAACACACCAATGTGTTGTGTGTGTGTGTGTGTGTGTGTGTGTGTGTATGTGTGTGTGTGTGTGTGTGTGTGTGTGTGTGTGTGTGTGTGTTTGCTAGGTGACGATGGTGTAGTTTTATTAAGGATCATTAAAAAAACATGTGTATGTGGAATGTTACTACTATAGTTTCGATAGAATCCGTGATAAGTGTATATTTAAAATAACCTCGGTAAAAATAAGGAATAATTAATTAATTAAAATATTTATATTTCTTGTTGTTTGTTAAAGGCAACGGAGCGAAGCTACTAATATTTATTCTGTGGTGAATCTCAAACTACTAGACAAAATATGAATGACTCTGATAGAAATCCATTTATTACAACCCTTCGCAAATCCATTGCTGAACAAAAACCTCGTACATATTAACAACAAAACTTTCATTCATTTGTTGACAAATGTTTACCGGTAACGAGGCATTCTACCAACATAGTCCTAGGTAGTGACAACGCATCTGCATTTTGATTCTTATTAGACCACGGTATTCACTTAAAATCATATGGACTGTGTGCTAACTTTCGGTTTTCAAACTTTATCAATTAAATTTAAAGTAGTATTTTCATTATTTATAGGTAGTTCTGCAACCGAGAAAGATATCGGCCGACGTCGAGCAGTTCCTGTCATCTATGTACGGGGCTCCCATTATGAAGTTGGTTACGATGTGGTAAGGACATTTAGTAACTTGCTACGCTATTATAATCACACATAAACAAAAACATTCTTACGCAAACTCTTGAACTCACGAGTATATTACTCGTAAGAACATAGAAATTCAAACGGAAAAAGTATTCTTTTTCGAGTAACCTTTTTGGTGGATCATGTCCTCGAGTACTAGTCACAATTTAGGGTCCAATTGGTTCAGATCTGGACTGGGCGAGGGCCATCGTTCTCAAGCCGGGTTAGAATTGTTCGTGCCTTATGGCCAGATGCAGACACTTTAGTTTAGTTTAGTTTAATGTTGAGGTTACGGACTAATATACTTTTGCTAGCATAAAGTAATAAGAAAATATCTTTTATAAAAACTACTTTACTAGATGCTGAACCATCACATCATGAAGTTTTTGGAAGATCTAGACGATAGTTTAATCCGGTGATCGGTCGATGACAACAGTATCTCAAGTTTTTACGGTACCTTTTTTTATAGGATTGCGTGACAAACGAGCACACAACCTACCTGATGGTAAGTGGTTGCTGCGGCCCAAAGACATCTACATCTATCCTCAATTACAAATTGAAATGCGGATGCGTTGTCACCCGTGAGTACTAAGATGGAATGCCTCGTTTCCAGTTAAAGGGTCTCCGGTTCTCTACACTCACCATACGAAACAAAGCAGCATTAAGCTACTATTTCAAGCTGGTATTCTGTGAGAGCGTGGTCCTTCCCCGGTCGAGCCGACCCATTCGTGCTACAACTATACTACTAATATAACTTCATGTGCAGATACGCAGTAGTATAATAAGTCTATGTGTGTAAATCAACATCGGAGGCCTTTTTCCGCCTTTCCCACCCATAGTTTACTCATGCAGACACTTAATATACAAAATCACACCACTGTTACGTCTTAACATCCATTTCAAACAATAATTTGTCTTGACGAAACAGGAGATACAATCCGCCGGCGGTCAAGTTCTCGCCAAAACTCCTTAATCAAAGTTCCTTCAAATAATAAGCGTATTCCCAAAATTTAATTCAGAAAAGAGGACATCTCAGAAAATCTCAGAAACGTTATTGTTGATGTTATCATTGTATTCAATGTGATAGTTAAACATAATATAGTGAAACAAAACTTTTCGTATGAATTTCAGGGTCGCACCTTCGCTTCTATCATCCAGAATTACCTAGATACATATGAAGAATTAAAATCTTTCGAAAAAGAATACAAAACAGCCTCCGGGCGCACTGCCTATGACATGACTCTGGCTAATATGAAACAAAGGTATCCGTACTATGTAAAAGAAATACAAGGTGTAGCCGACGGCGCAAATGTATCGTTTCATCAGGTATGTTAAAAAGGTTAAAATACAAACAGTTTAAAAAGTAACTAAAATGTGGAAATGAACATAACAAATAATTTTAACAACAGCGTATTTTCCGGACATGCAATTTTTGCAAATAAAGGTTACTTTTGTCTTTAATTATACTTTGAGATAAAAGATATTTTATTATGGACATGCTTCTTCATAATATTATTGAAACATATTTACATATCTTGTAAAACAAAGTTTCAACATGTGTGGCCCATTAAAACACCATAACCGCTTCCCATCATCTTAAAAGAGATTTCTTTTTATCGTTGCTCATGGAAGATGTGTGTCGTAGTTGATGGAAGAGCTGAGTGGCTCTGAACTTTAAGCACTTAGTTTCTATGGTAACAATACTTCATTACAATATGTCAATAAGTTTATTACTATACTATAACTAGCTGTTGCCCGCGGCTTCGCCCGCATGGTCACTGGGAAATGAACTATCCATTGCTTTTTGAATTGAAAGAAAACTGAGTTTTATAGATTTGTCAGAGATGCAGCTATTAAAAGGAAACTGAGCAAAATTGATTCGTCAGCCTATTTAAATGTTTTGAAACGCAGCGTATAGGAAAGCATGAAAATAGCCTGTTTATTCCAAATGGAAATGGGATATTTTTAATTAAAGGAAACTGAGCATAATTATCCGTCAGGGATGCAGACTTTTGAAAAGAAACTGAGATAAATTGATTCGTCAGAGATGAAGTTTTCTGAATTGAAAGGAAGGGAACCCGGGTTACTCACGTTCTGTTATATTCACAGCGAGCGTTAACCATCTGAGCTACCACGGCTTTACGGACACCACCTATTATCTCTACCAAATATTATGTTTGTTTAGATGTTTGCCGTTTAGAGGAAAATAAAATTAAAGATGAACTATAATATAAATTATTTACTAAGTTTTACTTATTTAGCTGTTCCTGCTGCACATGGACGATATCATAGGGACAATAAATGAAAACAGCATCTCACGTAACGATACCGGCGGTTGCAGTGACATCGGACTCTACACTGCTGATAACGTGAGTAAATTAGATAATATAAAGACTTGCATAATAAAGTTATAATTTTTATAATTTTTCGTATTCAACATAAGAGTAAAGTTATAGCGTATAGGTCCTACTGTTTGGTACAGAGCTTCGTTTAATTTATGTGAGGAAAATGTTAGGGTACACGTGACGGCGACGTCGTCGTGCCACAAGCAAAACGCACCGAAGCCTAAATCACGCCATCAAATTTCCAAAATACCATTTGATTTTCCAAAGTAAGTCGTTGACCGCTCCCTGGGACGATCATCTTGCCCAGCGGGAGGTCCATCCATCATTGGTTTTATTAAAGAACAGCAGATGCGCACAAATAATCTATTGATGGCGACTGGCACAAAAACTAGAAATACAATTCTTGTTTTCAAATTCTGTTCGAACGGAGATATATTCAATGGTGTGGACCCTTCCACGTGGGCGACAATTACGAATATTTACATTAAAAAGTTCTTATATTTTTTACGATTATAATCGTATTCTCGAGACGAGAACTCTGGTTATAATGGCCCTTTATTTGCACACTCTGTGCTGTTTGGTGATTTAGTTCAACTTAGAGATAGGATAGTTTTTATCCCGATAAGTGACCCTGAATATAATTTTATTGCCAATTTAAGGATTTTTTATATGAAGGTCGTCGGAAAGAGCATAAAAACGTCTGCTTGTCCAGCGAATCTTCAAATCAGCGAATCCTATCGTATTTAGGCTAAATAATAAAATTATTAAAGCTTCTGTAGCAAAAGTTAAACACAGGGTGCGCATTTGGCCTCGATTATTCGTATATTGGCGAAAAAAAATATAACAAAAACTAAAGTTTCAGGGGAGCAATATAAACAGGAAATATTTAAAAATCTGTAAGACAATACTTTTAGATAAATTTTCTAGTTTATTTGTATAGTTTGCGTAACAGTAACATACCTAAATAGAATATTCAGTTCAATGCGTTACAAACTTTATATTCTTAATTGAAAGAGAATAGATGTTTCGTGTTTAAAGTTATTGACATTATAACATGAAAAATATTAGTTTAGAACCTTTTTGGCTTGAAGACTAGGAGCTAAAAGTAAATTCCCTAACACTTCAGCCACCCGAATTCGATCACCGCCAGCATCAATAAAATTATAGATTTAAGTGCTGATTTACTAAATTCTTGGCGATTAAGAAAACTTCATGAGGAAACTTATATGTCTAAGAAATAAGACGTTCCGATAATATGGGTATGTCGTCAAAACTTACCGTAGCTGCTCCTCGATCTTTCTTAGAAATTAGAAGAGACGTATGCCCAAGAGTGAGAGATATTCGGACTTCACCTCTCTAGTATAAGTAATCCATGACTTTACCTATACTCTTATTAGTGGCAATATTTTGTTTTCTGGTGTGGTATCGTTGTGATTGTTCCTGTATTTGTGTAATTAGTCTACGTGCAAAAAATGTTGTATTAAAACTGATTTTGTTCTTTTTCCGGTATGTCAACATTCGGTCAGACAACAGTAGTTTTTAAAGATGTTGATTTTTAATTTTTTTATTACTTATAGATTGTGCTGGGCCACACAGAAGATGCGCAAAAGGAAACACTCAATCACTTCTACATTGTGTCAGCACATATTATACCGACACCAGAAGATAAAGAACTAGGGGTAAGCATTTCTTAAGTTAAATAAACGAGTTGAGATAAAGTTAATTTTTAGCTTCATATCGTGACGGTCCTCTCGAATATTAACACCCTCATAACTTAACGAATGTTGTCATATACAATATTTAATCATCATTTGTCGAAAGGTTTAGAATCTAATATTTCATTTTCTGACGCCGTCACCTAACATCTTGGCCACGGGACATTCGCCACGGGCGACTAAAACAAATGTATAGAAATGTATGGATCAATTCTCCATCTATAGCCCGATTCCTATTGGAATTATGTACTCCGCAATCTCTTCCAAATATTATGTCTTGAATCAAAAAACAATTACTTTCTAAGCAATAAGACGACTAATTTTGGATTTTGAAAACGATACCGAAGTTACAAGCGTTTTATTAAAAGTTTGTACTACCTGAAATTATTGACTCGAGATAAGCTCGGTTAATGCCGTAGCCTCAAATATTTTTACTGTTGGTTATTTTATTTATTAAACGGGTTGCAACCGTACTATTTATTTGTGTATACCACAATGCTACCGTTAGTAGATATAATCGATTATTAACCAACATTGGTTAACATTGGATTACTGCGAAACAATTTAATATTTATGTTTACTTATTTCAAAACTAAAGTTCATAAATAACAAAAAATATTAAATAGATTATAATAATAACTTAATTAGATAACATAAAAATGACACACCAAAAATGTTCCATCCACTGAACTCCATCCTAAGAAAACTTGTATAATGGAAGATCAAGATCGTTTAGTCGCTATACTCACAGTATCATAGTGCGAGCGAGTGAATAGAAATACGAAATAAAGTATACTACCCGCTAGGTGCTTAAAATACTAAATTTGTGTCGCGAAGTCGCTTGCAGCTCTATAAAGCGCATATTCAGCCTCATGTAGAATACTGTTCTAATCTCTGAGTCGGGGTACCCCAGTATCAGCTTATTAATTTCAACTGCTGAATTCCACCATCGTATAACGTACACTGCGTCGGAGCTCGAAATTCCATCCTCATTATCTTAACGGCTGACGGTCCACTACTGTGCGATTTTCGTGGAATATTCTTCTTCGCACGACCAACTTGTGGAATTTTGCTCTCACCTGCGATTTTTCCGGACCCATACGACCAACTTATTGCCATAAAGGAAAAGGACACATGTTATGTTTATCTACAACTACATGCGAGAAATTTATCAAATTAATTGCATCAAGCAAGAAATACATCAAATGCGTCAAACGGAAATAATAACAATTACGTGGAATTGAATACTAGAACGTGTGCAAGCGACTAGTGCGTCGCTACAATCGTCTAATATAGACCTTACTACGGGTACACCCTTTATGTATCATTATATGAATATGTCCGAACAATGCGATAAACATTTTCAGATATTGAAGCAAAAGCCAAAAATTTGACAGGCTGTCATGAATATCAGCAACAAGCTTCAAGACGACGCAAGCGACTAGACGACAGCGTCCTAGTACAGTAGACGGATTTTTTGAAACAGAAACACCTGGTAAACCATTTGAAATGAAGTGTTTGTTGTCATTATTGATAACTTGCTATCTGCTTTAGATAAACGCATGAAAGTATACTAAAATCTAACTTGGTAGTTTTGGAACATTTTAACAAGGTGTGATAGATACTCAATCTACAGCTGAATTAGCAGTAGCTTTCGACATTTTCATCAAAAAAATATAATTTCATTTGCGTCAAATTGGCAAGATAAAATAGCCGGACAAATGGGTGCCCCGCTAACTCAATAATCACCAGCGCGAAGTATGCGTCGAGATGTGCCTTGCACTACACAACAGGCTTATAAACGAAGAAATTTTGACCCATATTATCATATAAATATATTACAGCCGAAGAGATTTTGAAAGAAACTCCAATTATGGTCAGTGCTTACATAAATGTTCTGGAATACAACATAGACGGTGAATTAGTGCAATTTGCCAAGTTGCTCAAAACGGATGTGAACCAGCCGCCTCCATTTCCAAAAAATTCTATATAAATTTCTAATGGATAGGTCATTAGAATCATATTTCCTCAGTTTAGAAACTGCTTAACGCATTTATTGTCTCTCATAATCACTAACTGCAGTCGTGAACGTTCATTTTCGACATTGAACGGTATAAAAAATTAATTTAGTAAAACACTATGAATCAAGAACGCCTGAATTATTTACGAATAGTATGATTTCTAAATTTGCCCACATGAAATCTTGTAAAGTTACTTCGTAGACGTTAAAAAAGTAATAAAAGAAACAGATAAATACATATAAAATATATCCATAATTTAAGTACTCCATTAATAAAATATAACATTAGCTGTTCCTGATATAATATACTTTGTTAAAAACATATACTTTGAAATATGTACAAAAAATATTTATAATTATTTGTTAGTACCGTCAGTTTTAAACTTACTTTCTTATCAAAATCCTTTTAAGTTACCAGGACAATCTCACATCTGGCTTTTTGTACTTGCCGAAGTCTAAGATCCTATAGTAAAGTACTGTACCATTAAACACTAACATAATTTAATAAACTGAGTGTTGAATTTTGTTTATAACTTTATACTTAAAAACCTATAGCAAATCAAAGGCCCTTCGATATAATTTGATACGGGCCCCGCGCTTGCTTAATCCAGCACTGGCTTTAATAGGTCTTCAAGACGACTATTTTAAGATTTGAAAATAAGCTCTCGACGCAATATCTCTCGCAAGCTCGCAACACACTTAGGTATTATGCTCCACAATAGAGCCATCACGAATAAAAGGATTGAATTACTCCAAAGGTTTTCAAATGCTTTCCATTCTAACCAACAAATTCATTAGACGCAGTGGTATTTTTTTATTATTAGACTATATATTACTTACTATATACTACATTCTTAGACTGTAAGAAAAAAGATAACCCCGTTGGGTTTCTTGCAGGTGCTTCCCAGGATGGGGGTATTTTCTGAACAGTAGTTAATAAATAAACACATTCAATAAGTATCATGTAATTATAATCTATATTGAATAAAAACATATTTTAGTCCATTCTTAGTATCAGTCAAGTGAATTAATAATTTAATAAGAATATAAAATAATTAAATATAAACTAATTATAATTTAATAAGAAAATATTGTTACGAACCGAGCTCGTAACAAATTGGTGTCAGAAGTGGGATCAAATCATGCCGATTTTACCAAAGAGGAAACGGAAGGTGTCCGTAGCCGAAGTCAACGGCAGCAGGAGACGGACCAGAGACGATTTGTGGTGCAACGCTGCAGACATCGGAGGGCCAGCCGGCCACAGAGCCGGTCTGTCAGCCAATGTGGATCGACTGGCGCGTTACTATGGGGTCGATAATGCTCGGGACGAGCATGTCTTAGGAGGGGGCAGTGTTGCGCGCTATAATTAGCGCCTGGTATATGGCGGCTGATTATTAGTGCCATCTGGTATCAAGCAGCACAAATAGGAGCGTCAAGATCTTTCTATAACACTCCCACTAGCGCCATCTAGTATCGAATGGAAGAACTAAGCCTTCTAGAAAGCTTCACCCTTGAACTTTCTGCACCTGGTCGGTCGGGGGCCGGTATTTACTGGAATGTTCTGGATGTTTCGGTGGAAAAGGCCTATATGAAGCTATTGAGGGCCGCGACCGGGTCAGTATTGAATTGGCGATACAAGTGAAGCTTCGGAGCGAAATAAAGTGAACTAAAGTGTTAAGTGTCATTAATTACTGGTGTGTTTTAAGTTTTAATTGGTGTTCAGTTCATTAAAGTGTCAATTCCGGTAATTCAATCGGCAGTTTTTATTGTCACGAACCCTAAGCTCGTAACAATATATACGCATTAAATATGATTTATACAAGAAAACTTGTACAGTAAAAAAATAACAATGTATTTTTAAAATATAGTATATCGACTAAATAATTATGAAATTTTAATACTACATTTTTCATTAATATGGATTTATTAATGTGTTTTATTAAACTTAGTACTAAATTTAAAAATTGTCTAGGATATTTCTCAATAACCTGTTCGATTAGTTCAAACTTAAATTTGAAATAAAAAAATTCTTTTTATTTCCAAGAACTAAAAAATATTAAATAAATTTCACATAATAAAGTAAAGTAAACTCTAAATAGGTACATTAAAATCTTCATCTTTTATTTTTCAACCCCATAGGGGTGGAAATGGAATTGTTCAACCCTATAGGGGTGGAAATGGTATTGAGGTAACTATTTAACAAAAGTTTATTTTAGTTTATCCGTTTCCGATAAATCGGTAAATATACATCTTTGAATATAAAATAAACATACGCGTCGGACAAAGAACCATCGCGTTTTTTTGAACTACGTGTATGTCAATAACACGGCCCGTGTTGCTTTATGCACGTGTTATATCTTCCCGGTTCTATATTTTTAATGTGTTGAAACAGAAACCAATATGTATTTAGTTTTGATCTTATATCAATAAAATTTTAACTCAAAACACATTAATTAAAATATATTTTTGACACATTTTTTTGTTTGAATAAATATTTTTTGTATTTGTATACTTACCCTTAAACTTTTGAACACTTCACCAGGCAGTTGAAGAGAGATTCGCCTCTTTGTCTTATGCTGGTCAGCTGCCGGGCTACACAATGGGCTTCAATGAGAATGGACTGGTGTTCACTATCAATACTCTCAGCCCTCTTATTTTAAAACCAGGGAATACACGTAAGTTTCCACTTTTAAAATATTTACAGCACTTGTTTAAGCGTTGTAAATTATTCATTTTATTTATTTAAAACCTTTATTCTTATAACCATCAAGGCAACGAAGTGTTTGTCTTAATGCCAGTCGGCAATTTGTGCTAGTCAACTTAAAGCGTGGTGAAAAGTAGCCTTGAATAACTAAATATAATAAAGTAAAATGCAGTGGCAGATTTACCAGCAGGCTTAGTAGCCTGTAGCCTAGAGCGACAGATGTTTGGGAAGGGCAAATTTGAGACAATTTTTTTGTCTTACACAAACTAAAGAGATTTAAATTTGAGATATTTTCTGCCATTATCTCGGAACTCAAAACAGGTTTTCGTTCCTTGCTCAGTGGCAACTACGGCTGTTGAATTTTACACAAAGCTTGTCGCTTCTTCATGTTGATTCAAGAAATCTACAGTTTTTTGTTCAACGTTCAACGCAACGATGGCAAAAAATAATGACTTAAATCGAGGAAGGGAAAACGCTAAAGAGAGTAGATCCGACACGCTGGTCAACTAGAGAGGACGCATGTTGAAGTTTAAGAAATTCTTGCTACAATGTCCCTAAAACTTTTAAATCAATCAAGGACGATATAATAATACAAAACAACCTGTAACGCGTAACGAAGCGACTAGTGTACTATTGAATTCAAAAAAAAACTGAAAATGGGGATAATAGTTGTTGTGTGTAGTATTCAAGTGAAAGTTCAAATTCGGGTTTCTACCACAGATTCGATCTTTACGAATCTCTTTGTAAGTTTCTCGTAGCTGAACGATCATATTTGAAGTATTTTGAAGAAAAGAAAAGGTAAGTGTCGAATCAGTATACAAGAGACATGGGAAAAAAGACAGTCAAAAGGAAAAGAAGATCAAACACCTGATAAAGAAATGAGAATAACTACGAGTGAGTTTCAGGGTTGAAATATTTATTTTTCTCATTGACGCGTATCCGAATTGGCAGCAAGACTTCTACAGATTCAATGAATAGTTTTCGTTTTTGATCAAAATGAGTGAATAATTATTATCAATCAGCTTTTTCTTGGAAAAAATGTATTCCTATGATGTAGAGACTGATTTAGTTTAAGATGCATACGTTGCCACCTTTCTTCCGAAAGAATTTTAGTAACACTTGATTCTGGATCCTTGAAAAGACTATCGCCGTTCGTGCGAAAACAGAAATTGCGAGAATTTGCGAACTGCTGTATCCAAGCCATTAAAAAAACTGAAAAAAAAATCAGCGAGAAATTGTTCGGGTGAGAGAAGCTTTTCTTGCTTATAACTGGTGAAAAATTATCTAAGATCTACCATAAACCAAAAAAAGCTAAACGCCTTTCCGCTTTTATTCAAAAGGTCAGCTAATGAACAAGATTATATACGACGATATAATTGATGATTTTGCGAATAAGAAATCGCACAAAATGGAATTGCAAAACTTTCTTAACTTAACTTGTTGAATTTTATCATCATCATCAGCCGGATTGTTACCAGATAATTAAATATATTGTTTTTAAACTGTAAGCGTAATAAGAAATATTTAGTTACGTTTACCGAATGTAGCTAAGTACTATTAAATCAACAACCTTACCCCGCCTCATTAGTAATATGTGATTGAGATTTTATTAGCTTAGAAACATACCCGTCGTATTTAGTATGGTTGTGAACTAAGGGATCAATGTGTTCGATTGGATGAGAAACTCCTAAGGATTGCACAAGAAATATTTTCTGGGTAAGATTTATCTTTGGGTTGTAAAAATAATCTAAGATCCAATCGAACACATTGATCCTCTAGTTTACAATCATACTACATACCCAATAATAGAAAACTTCCAATTAAACGATAACATATACCGTTATTTGAAGGGTTTCGCTATTGGTACTGAGCACTGCAATATTAATTAAAAAATAAATATATTTTTTTTTAAATTTTTTTATAATAATATAATTATTATAATTATTTATTATTTATAATTTTATTATTTTATGTTGACGGTACATATTTTAGGATAACAAGCTATTTCAGGAAAAAACCTTTATTGTTGAATGTACGTGGTAGAGCCACGCTGTAGCTATATTATAGTTGTAGCATGAATAGGTCGGCACGACCAGGGTAGGACTACGCTCTTCCAGAATACCAGCGTAAAATAGCAGTTTAATGCTGATGTGTTTCGTATGTTAAGTAAAGAGAACCGGGAACCCTATTCACTGGAAATGCAGCATGCAGCAGCTGCATTTTGTTTCTTGATCGAGGCTAAGTTTAGATGTTTGTGGACCACTGCACCCAAATACCATCAGGTGAACAGTGTGTACGTTTGCCAACCTTATCTAAAAAAATATAAGGGGAGGTAGTCACTTATAATCAAGTGGAATAATACATGAAATTTTATGTGTGAGTAACGAGAACTGGAGACTCTTTTAATTGGTAACGAGGCATTCCATTATACATCTTAGTGGCGAAACGCCAACTTTAATAAAGGTATTTAAAGACGCATATAGCAGAAGCATTCACTTACCATAAGATGGACAGTGGGACCTTCACTTCTTTATAAAATAAATTATCACACTGCAATAACTCCAAATAAACAAAACGCGCGATTATTTTTGGTACTTCAAGAATAATCTCTAAATTAAATAAAACTCAATTAAATCCCCTAATACTTACGGGGTTCATATACCTTATAATGACGTAAAAAATCTTGGGAACATTGATAGATCTTCTATATCTAGAATCGTGGGAGCCTTTCTTGGACTGCTCAAATCAACGCTGAAATGTTTGCAGCTTGTGGTTTACTCCGAAGATTAAACTAGACTTGACTTTTTACCCATTTCCACCAAAATTACACTTCCCCAATCATTACTGCCTGCTCCCTATTCTCGATTATGCTGACAAAAGTTATCTTGATATCACCAAAGATAATAAACTTGAGCGACTCCAAAATCAATTTATACAGTTTATATTTGGAATTTGTTAACACTGATGACCATGTGTTAGAATACCGAGCTAAGCTCAAGTGGCTCTCAATCCGTTTTCGCCGGAATACTCATATCCTTTTGATCTCTACCACGTATTATTTAATATTATATCACGTCCTCCCTAAAACTCTACAGCTGAGGTTGTACCTTTCCAATTTCTCTCATACCTCACCTCTCATACATCACCTTTATCTTCAGTCCAAAGAAAACCTTTCTCTTTTATATCCCTTTCTTATCTCTACTTTGACAGAAAATCTTTTGTAATTCTTAGAGTCAAGGTTTGGAACTCCTTACCTTACTATAAAGTGTGCTCAAAAAATAAACTGCTTTAAAGAACAAGTCAAAACCATTATCTTTTCGTCTAATTTCTCCCCCCTCCTTTCATCTCCTCATTGCATGTTTATTAATTTATATTTTAGATTATAACATTAGTTATAGTTAACTACCATTTAACTTTTCAGACCCATCACTTAAATTTTCACTTCTTTTTATTTCGCTTTTGTAGTTAGTCTGGATTTTGTGTATTGTAAGCAAAAAAGTATGTGTTAGGAGTAGTTTAAAGCAGTGGTCGAATGACAAATTTAAACAGTTTCGCAATCCGTATCTTGAATCGGTCATCCATCCATCTAGCATATAAAAGTCCACTGCTGAATATAGCTCCCCCAAAGATTTAGGGGATATTTTGCCATAGTTGCCATGATTGGCAAACGGAATAGTTATATTATTATGTATTACTTTTATTATATACTATTTATATATTGTTTTTACAGTTTGAGTTGTTATCAAGAAGATGTTCAGATAGTCTATCATTGTTACTGCCGCTAACTTAGTTTCATATAAACTATTGTTTTCCTTTGACCTGCGCCCTTGTTAACAAGTAATAATTAGATGATATTATCTTACAATAGCCCGGACTTTCATAACTCGAGCCTTGTTGGCGGCAAGAGATCCAGCTGAAGCTGATAAAATCCTTCTAGACGAAGGTCTCGGCATCGGTAACGGTTTTTCCATCAACATGATATGGACGGACACCAAGGGACAACGCACTTTAAAGAACATCGAAGTGGCACCCGACCTACAAGCTGACAAATCGTCTTTGAATGTTCAGAATCATGACAAAGAACCTCTGATGCATTGCAACGCGTAAGTATTTGAAATGCAGACGAAACGCTTTTAAAGGAAACATTGCAATGTTAATTTTTTTTAATATTTTTGTTATAGATATTTACGCCAACAAGTGCAACAAGTATCTGGTGATATAATAGACAGCAGCGTGACTCGAATGAAAGCCATCAAACAGCACCCAGCGCCACAAAGTAGAGCTGACATCGAAGATATACTGTCAGACACCACATACAAAGACTATCCAGTGTTCCAGACCAGGCTTGATGCTCAAATTCAAACTATTGCTGCTGGTAACTTAAACTTATTCCACAGCTGTACATTGCAATAAATAATTTAAAAATAATGTAAAACAAAACGCAAAGAGGTCAGCAGACAGATTTTGTTAATTTGATGTCTCTGATACTTTTCCTTCAATTATAACACTTTAATTATTAATTTTTCTCTTAATTTTTTTAGTCATTTTGTCTGTAGGCACATTGATCCTTTCCCAACAAACTTTACATGAACCATTAATCTACACATACACAATGCAATGTCCGAGGTGGGTTATTCTACATAAGTTTATACATAAGGCAATATCCATGTCGTATAAGTTCATATCTCATAATACGAGTATGTCCTTTTGTCTACATCCTATTAATAAACTATGTAAATCTTAAATCTTTAAATAGACCACAACTTTCACAATTAGGTAGATCAGTTATTTTTGCATCAGATATGAAACACCTTTTCAATGGAATGTGACTTGTCCTTGTTCAAAATATTTCCATAATGAGATTTCTATTTAATTTTGCGTCTATAAAATAGTTTTGTATTAAATATACCATACAGTAATTATTTCCAATTAGACTTCAGCAATCTATTTCTACTATTTAGTTCAACCAGGATTTTTTTATGAAATCAGTTGCAGTGGTGTGTAATAACAATTGTTTTTTGTTCTCATCAATCCATAAATTATTTAATACTATTTACTAAACAGAAACTTCTTCTTAATATCTTATTCCTATACCTATCACCATAATGTTCATATCTAACATCACGTCGCTGGTTTAGATATATCAATAGTTTTACATATAAGAGATGCATTTATTTTTTGGATCTTTATAGCAATACCATAGTCGCCTCTTCGATTCTTGGGGCCACCGCTACTATACAAATTTACTGAAATTAAATTAAATATATTTCTATGATGTACTCAAAGAGGGCGTCAAAATTTTGGAACTTCTAAGTGCATAGCGAATGCGAACAGTCCTGTCTACACGAGCAGCACCACGATTTAACTACTTAGTTTCTATTAATAATGCCTATACAGTATTATAAATAGATAAAGAAATTCCTGTCTGTAATATTAAAATAACTAGCTTTTGTTAAGCCCGAGGTTATTTGCAAGCTATCAAGCCATAAATAACTATTTTTAATTTTTTTATTCTCTCTACCTGTCTGTCCGAGTTAATGGGTGCGTTTGGCAGAAAAAAGCGCTAGCAAGCGCTTGTAAGCAAAATGGCGATCGTAAGCGGTAAGCGCTGTCAAATTGTAAGTAGCTATTTTCCTCCAGGACACGATGTTAGTTTTAACGGAGAACCTAACCTAATTTAAATATATGTTTGTAAAGTATTCATATTAAAAACTTACCAATCATGAATTTTTAATAACATATATATGTTTATTCATGTCAATATATTACTTAAAACTAATATTGCACAAAACAACTTATAAACTCTACTTCAAAACAAACAAATTAAATAAGCAAAATGGCGGATTGTGTCAGTGCTACCGAAGTAGCAATCGTGTCCTGGCCGAAAACTATTTCAGCGCTTATAAGCGCTTGCTAGCGCTTTTTTCTGCCAAACGCACCCACTCTTTGGCGTGGCTGAGTGGCTATATTTTTTTATTAACTGGCTTTACGGCTCTGGGTTCTAGCCCTTCTGAGCGGCTGAGCGGATAGACACCAATGCCAAGAAGGATCTAAGCTATATTTTATCTGAAAAATTAAAAATATATATATAAGGTAGATCGTCTTTGCTTATCTTAAATCTAGACCACGCCATATTAATAGATCATATCGAAGCGAAAACGGGGCGAGTCGCTAATATAATTATAATATAACTATTAACTAAAATGCACTGATATTTTGTGAATATTAAATTATAATACTTCCAATATTTTGAACAGTATAAAACTAAATATATCTTATTTTTCAGGTATTTTTGATATGAAAGCGAGCACTTGGAGCATTTACATTGATAAGCCAAACGCTTCAGAGCCGGTCGCTATTTTGCCGATGAGATTTTCAATGTTGAATCAATTTTAATTCATAAACAAATTGTCATTATAGAAAGTACTTATATGCATAATTTTGTGGCATAGCTACTTAGGAGTGATATTTTGATTGTCTTATTAATCGCCATAGTGTAATTAATTTATCAATATAGTTAGATAATATTATCCCACCCAAATATGTCTTCTATACTATGCAATAGTAAAAATGATATTAATACAAAATTATTACCACCCAATAAATATATTAAATATTTATTAAATATATTTATATAGCGATACTAGATGAAAAATATAGACATAGATATACAAATAAATATAGATAATATGGTGCATCCCACTTTTTGAAGATAATTCGTTCAATTACTGACGTAAACTCTAAAATGATTAACGCGAAAACTACAATTAGGTATTATCAAAATTCGTTCAGTATTTTTAGAGGTGATTGAGTAAAAAACATACAAACATCCACACATAATTTCACTTTTGTAATATTAGGAAATAGTAGTATTAGAAAGGCCATATCAAATATAAGTTTTTAGTAGTCTTATACAACTGTGTGCTTATATTACCGTTTGTAGAAAATTAAGTATTATAATCGCCTATTATGATAATTTGATTTGCTATTAAAACCAGAGTTTGTAAACATTTTACAAATTTTTAATGACATTAAAATATTCTAATTAATAAAAATTCTTTGTCAGCTCATCATATAGATGTCAATATATATAATAGAAAGCACCTTGTAGTCTGCTCAAACATTAAATAAAATATTATAAAATAAATTAAAGTTTTATTCATGACCACCCATATATACTATTTTCGTCGTCAAGGTATTATTTTGCGAACTATTTAAATAAATGGACACTTCTTAGTAAGACTTCACGTTATGAAATGGTAAAGAAATAACAATAAAAACAATATATCACAAAAAAATGAAGTATGCAAACGCTGTTTCTTCTGCATATCAATGGCATATTCCAAACTGTTAACGTTCATTGCTATGCATACGACGGCACTGGTGATGCTTTTTACACCGGACGTGCTATTTTTCGGGAAAATGTCGCCGAGTACCGAGGTAAACTTGTGTCCGAAGTCGAGACTTTGTTCAAGTCTCGGACTGGGGGCGACTGAATCTATTCCACTTCAATCCACATTATATCTGATTGAATCTCCTCAGTTTCAAGGCACTCCTCACGTGGCCTCAGCCTGTATCGGAATGTATAGGAATCCTCGGCATCGACATATCGAGCAACGTGCAGTTTCGTAGTCACTTGGAAGAGAAGGCCAAATCGGCCTCGAAAAAGCTTGTAGTGCACAGCAGAGCGGGACAGTATTTTATGCCGGCACACTGCCTGCAACTTTACAAGTCGCAAGTTCGGCTGCACATGGAATACTGTCCCCATCTCCGGGCTGGGGCTCCCCGGTGCCAGCTCCTCCGTTTGATCGCATCCAGCACAGAGGTGTTCAAATCGTCGGCGACCGAGCTCTTTGCGATCGGCTTGACTCACTGGCACTGCGAAGAGATGTTGCATTTCGTTGCACATTTTATCGCATCTACCACGGGGAGTGCTCTCAGAAATTTTTCGGACTAATTCCAGCGGCACAATTTCACCATCGCACAACGCAACAAATCTGGCGATACCATCCAAACCATCTGGATGATTGGCGGTACACCACTGTGCGATTTAAAAGTAGTTTTCGTCCTCATAACTTGATAATAATTAATTATTAATCTCTGGTAGCTGATACTACCAGAGATTTTTCCGGACCGATACGACTCAGGGACCTTCAAGATCAGAGCCTACTTGTTGTAACGTGTTGCAGTTGTTCATGGCGGCGGTAATCACTTACCATCAAATGAGCCGTATGCTCGTTTACCCGCTCTTCTATAAAAAAAACCAACAGCAACACCGCTCACAACGATGTGACGTAAGGCAGCCTCACGGTAACATCACCTATCCTTGTACTATAAGAACTACCACGACGGACAGAATAGCGATAACGATTTAGTCTCGTGGTTGACGTGAGTTAGTTGCCTGCACTGTACTTTATACTCTTAAATGATTTGAGGAGTTATAACGCTAATTATATACTGTCGTGTATTGGCGGTTAAGAATATCCATTACCCCATATCCTCCCGTGGGTGTCGTAAAAGGCGACAGAGGGAAACAAGCAGGAGATGGGCAGCAGCTTCTCCCTCAACAAATAACAGCAATTGTACAACAAAATAAAACTGCGGTGCCCTACCCGCTCGCCAAGCGTGGTAACTGTGGCAATATAATCCCCATGAGCAACGACACAAATTAACGGTCCCCAGTCCGCGGCGGCTCCGCTGTTCGCAGCTACGGTGACGTCGACCATGGTAACGGCGGGGCAGGGGGTGCTAAGAATCTCCGGCGGAGGTTCGGTTGTCACTTAAGACGACTCGACCTGGCAACATACAACAAACGCATCCTGAGGACTGACGAGAAGTCCTGGAGCTGGAAGAAGAGATAGAGAACTTGCGCTAGAATATTATAGGATTCTCCTAGGTCTGAAAAGAGGCCACGGTGATTTTCGAATCCAGCAACTTGTTCTATCACCGGTGTAGTGTTATGCTACTTACATATCATTTTACACTATTTTAAATTTATTTTTCCATTCTGTTTTTGATTTTCTGCATTCACCTCAAAACTGGATATTTTGCATCACCTTTATTTCCATAGGATCCTGTAACGTTTTTAAACCATAAGAACACAATAACAAATCATTTTCACTTCGTATTTTCACGCTATCAGCACTTTTTAAATCGGTGTCAATGGAGTCTACCTTTTTCGATCTTTTATTTAGTTCTCCGTAACTCTGCAATTTCGGGCTTCGTGCGCGCTGTTGCGCTACCTTTTTTCCTATATCAATAATATCTCATTTTGCACTTAAATCTTGCCGTTTCTCTATTACGAGCCTGAAACAAAAATTTGACATGTTTTGACATCGTTGTTTATCTGGTTGTCATGGCAATTTTTATTCAAATTCGTTACCGGTCTGATGTTTTTACTTCAAAACTTCCACAAAAATACTCTTTTCTTCTTGGCCATTTACAAAAATTTGCTTTTAATTTAAATAATTTCCCGTTCTTTTCACAAATCCGTCGTCGAGCGCGGATCTCTCTAAAAAAGTATAAAAGCCGAACAATCGGCCAATAAAGTCAGTCTCGCTTCAGCTTTCATACTAGAAGCATCTCCTAAAGGCCTTATCCGCATTGCCCCGGGATCCTGCAAGCCTCTGCCTTCATCTGAAGTCGTCGTCTAGCCACGCCTACGCCTCCACCTACTAGTGCCCGCGCTATCTTTAGCCGCTGTGCGTGCTTGCTTCCGGCACTGCGTGTGCCTACTCCGGGCGCTGCGTGTGCCTACTCCGGGCGCTGTGTGTGCCTACGCCCGGTGCTGTGTTTGCCTACTTCAAGCGCTGCGTGTACCTGCTCCAGACGCTGTGTGTACCTACTCCAGACGCTGCGTGTGCCTACTCCGGGCGCTGTGTGTGCCTAGTCGGGGCGCTGTGTGTGCCTACTTCAAGCGCTGCGTGTGCCTACTCCAGACGCTGTGCCTAGATCAGGCGTTACTCACCTACCACAGGCATAGCCTGTGCATACTCCGTGAGCGGTGAGCACCACTGCCAAGCGCGGTGTGCCACCTTGGTCTTCGGACTCCGTTTCGGTACTCATTTATCTTTGTTATTTTTTTTAAATAATTGTAATTCACGTCACCCATCATCATCTTCATATTTTTTATATAAAAAAACTGTAAATATCTTTTAAAATTTTAAATAATTTTTTTTTGTTGTTTCGTTGTTGTTAGGTTAGGTTCTTTTGTTTTTAACTGTCGCTTTACGACACCGGAAGGGCGAGTCCCAAGGAGGTGTTGGATTTATCGTCTTCAAGTCTCTCGTTAACAAAGTTGTAAAGATTGGGAGTGTATCAACTAGGTTTGAGTACCTTATATTCAGAATCACCAAATGATATTTGCTGAATGTCAGATAGGTTTACGCACCGACCTCGGCACATCCTGATGAGGAGGTGGAGAAAATGTATGAGGATATTTCAAGAGCCATGCGTTCCTCTTCAACGAACGCAAAACTAGGCAAAAGAGAAAGCGGTGAGCTGAAAGTAAGGAAATTTAGGATAGGTCTATATATATAGATAGCTATTCGGAAGTACAAGGTCAAGATACACGCGCCGGCGGCTTTCTATTGATATCGCATTCAATCGTCGCCGCCGCGCCGCACGCACTACATTTGACACTGTTTGAATGCCGCCACAGAGTACATGTTCCAAAGAATAAAATAAGTTTCCGGGTGCTCAGAATGGACACGAATACACATTATGCTGATCTCGCAAGGAATATTGTAATTAGATAATGGTAAGGATAGGTAGATACCATAATAATTTATTCTAGTAAGCAATTATTATAATATTAACTATATGGGTTTATAATAATTACTTACTATTATTATTATTACCTAATAGATAAACATGTTCAATAAGTTCACTGCAAATCTCGATTTTTGGAATGTGTGTTTTTGAACACAAAGTGCTCGAATATGTCGTCACCCATTTGATAAATATTGTAGACACTTTAAACACACTTGAAACGTGTAAACATTTTGTACAATGCTAATCGAATAATATAAAAAGTGTGCATATTAAATAAAAAGCGTAAAATAAGATCTATGTACTTTTTAGGAGCCCGAGTATCTCTTAGAGAACCGTTTAAAGAAATTCATTGCATCGAATTGATGTAAATAATAGTGATTTGCACAATTTTAATAGTAGAAATAAAAATAAAATCACAATACCTGCTTTCCGGTTACACAAAGTATATAATGCGTTCTTGGGTAGCGATATACGCTTTTATAATAAGATTCCAAAAGAAATGTTAGATCTTTCACCTTTTCAATTTAAGTCAGACAAAAATGCTTGGAACTGACCTCTCGTACTACACAGGACTAACTAGAAATTTCTAAACCGATTTGGTATCTACATATACATTTGACATT